TGGTAAATGATCAGAGAAGGGTGAAAACTGAATAAAAATCAATAATTTTGAGAAAAATACCTTGGCAGCGTCAGGGGGTGAAATGGAAGGACTCACATCTTCTGTTGTCTTGGAAGCATCGGTTGTTTCAACCGAAATCAGCTCCTTTTGAGGATCAGCCGATGAAAGTTTGGTTGGTGCTGATTTAAATGCTTGGGACAGTAGTTTAGTACCAAGAGCAGATTGGGATGCAATAATTGATAACTATGAAGAAAGGAACGGGATTAGAAGTTGAATATCATTTTGAGAAGAGGAGGAATTGTTTTACCTGGGCAGTTGATGGTCTTGTTCTGCGAAGTCTTTTCCTAGTAACGGTTTTATGGGTTGTCCCTTGGGCCGCCTTGCGTTTTGAAGATTGATACGCTACAATTGTAGAGGTAGCATGAGTTTTCATTAGCTTCTTCAGTGGAGGTGCAGTTGATCCTATTCTTGAGGCTGGACATGGTGGCTAATAATCTATAGGGTGCCCTTTCCTGTCCAAGCTTGGGGGATTGAATTCGGTGTCCTAAAAAGGTCTGTTAGAATAGTTGGTAGGAGGATTCATCGAATAATTTTTCTAAAAAGAGAATGGTAAGTTACCTCACTGTCAGAAGCAAACTCTCCATCCAAAGCTATGCGTCTAGGATGGACTGACCCATAAAAGAGATGGGAGTGCCATTCTTGCCACCAGAAGTCAAAAAGGTTGGAAGAGAAGTTGACTCTTGTCTAGTCATGCAAGCAAAAGAAAGATCTGATCCTAGTTAAAAGACTCTGGAGGCTTCCATTACTTCACTAATACCTTCTCTTGGCTTCAGTATATTCTTGAAGAATAGTTGAGGAGGCAATTGACTAAGACCAAACTAATGAGCTACAAAAGAAGGGTTGTAAAACTCATAGGTTGGAAGGTTGCCTAGAAGGAAGGAACCAGTAGATATTTTGCCGCGGCCATGACGAAATTCGGCTGGAAGAACACAAGGTTTGATGAAGGAATTGAAGATTGCAAATTACCGTTTCATCTGAGCAGCCTGATTCAAATTGAAATTTGAATGGGAATACCAACTCATTGTTCTCATCCTCATTAAAGGGTAGCCAAGTCAAGATATCTGCGTCAAACCCTCTATAAAACTTCTTGAAGAGATGGCCAACATCGACAGCAATTGTTATGGCCGATGCGGCTTCACCATAGTTCATGCACCGATGGATTCTTCCTTCTTCGCCTCTGTATTCCTCATCAAAGTTGGAGGAGGGAAAGCTCAAATTCTAGAGATTTGGCCTTACAATCTTCTGCATATACAAGTTTAACCACATTTGTATTAGCCACCAAGGGCCGCTAATGGTGTGCGCCACTTCATTCTTCAGCAGCTGAGCGGCCACCTGATGCATCTAATGGTAAGCTGATCCCAACAAATATTTGCCAAGAGGAATCCCAACGCCTACTGCTAGATGCTCTGCCATGAGTTTATGATTGTAAGTTGGACCACAAGATGACCCACAGAAGATGAATCTTTCTAGCCACATATTTAGAAAAGCCAAATATTCTCTTTCGCTAACAGTTGATCCGTCTCCAATATGGTTCAGAATATAGCTTGCCCATCCTGTGTTGTCTGATATTTTGGCTAATTTCTAAGGCCGGTCAACATATAAACATCGGCCAAAGTGATGGTCATTGGGCCGTGATAAAAAACAAAAGCATTTAGGGTGTTAGACCAGAAATAAGATGCATAAATCAGGAGTGAATCATTCCTCTCCATTCCAGACAACGAGAGTGTAAAGCGTTGATTCAAGTCATAAATCTCCCAATCTCTAGCCTTTTTCCAGGATACCCTACGAAACCAATCTCTCCATCCCCTAGGCATTTTGCGCTAGTTTCTGAAGGGAGTTTTGGTGTTCCAGGAGGACAAATCCATTACAGATTATTTGAAGGGGATTCGGTTGGTTTCTTGACGGATAAAGTCAGATGGATTGGGGTCACCCATAGGCCTAAGAAAATATACATTGGGAGCAACAGCCGATGGAATCAAGATTTCATTCCTCATTTCCTAGAAACCAGATAAAATAAATTTGAGAAGAAAGGGAATGCAGTGTAGCGGCTGATACTTGGAGAACGGGAACTTGAAAGCATACCTCAGGGACGTGGTCGCTGGTCGCCATTGTAGTAGAAAATAGATTTGAATCTGAGGAAGATTGCTTAAAGGAAAGCTTGATAGAGCAGAGGATTTGCTAGGGTTAAGGCTTTGGCAATGGCGGCATCGGCTGTTAAGATTTTCTCGAGAAAGAAGGGGAAAGCAAATGGGCCAAGTGAGTTGGACTTGATACTATTGGGATATTATATAAAACTCGGACCGAGAAGTCAGGAGTCACGCGTATGTCTCGGAATAAACCGTTGCGGCATGGTGAATAGGTAAATAGAAATTTTGGAATAAAATCATTTTATTTCAAAATTGGATGGCAGGTGTTTACACCAAAATTTGAGAAAAAGAACGCGGGAACTCGAAGCTTCCAGGATTGAGTCATCAAAGAATCGATTGCATAAGGATCGATATCAGCTGATTGAGATGCAGCACTGGGATCGGCTCTCTTCGGATGACATCAGCAGATAATGCCAATGAGCTATGATTGGCGTCGAAAAGACATGTTGGACTCTAAAAAAGAAAAGATTAGGGACCAAGTTATCTTAAGTTAGGAATGTTTTCTTTTATACCAAAGATTGTAATGAGACATACTTGAGTAGAATTCATGCTTAGGTTCCGGATATAAATATTGGACCCCAACTATTGTAAAAGGATCATCCAATCAATCAGTACCATTTACTTTTTTCGGCTTTACGCCAACCCTTAGGAGTAGTAGTGTAGATCTCGGCGAGTTCTTCAACAAGCAGGGCTGCATCGGTCGAGCCAACCTCTGGCTTGTCTGTAAGTACTGTCATGGCCAATACTTCTGTTCGTAAGGCTGCATCGGTTAAGTTTGACCTCCACTATGAGCTCTAGCATAAGCTAGTTATCGATCCTTATCTAGTTCAAGTACGGCTGCATCGGTTAAGTTCGACCTTCACTGCTCGAATTAGATTAAGGTCAAGTTATCGGCTCTACCTAAGGGTGGCATCCTTCGGGTAGATTCATTAATTTATCGATCTTGCTGATATTCTTATTGTCATTAGTTTTCAGCAATATCAACCTGCCCGATCGAGATTGATCTAGATCGGCCTCACATTCTTTGAATCCATCGTTTATTTTGTTACATTGCGACGGTCCTTACTTTAAACAATGGATTATGTTTCATCGGCCGTTCTGCTTCGATCTTGGTCGTGCATAGTACGCGGTCAAGGCATGTCTGATCTTGAGAAGGTTTACTAGCTAGTTGAATCTAGTCCATAGCTCGCTATTATGGATGTATCGATCCGGTCAACCCCCACTGTTAGTACTTTAGATCAGAGGATGCTAGCTAGTAGATTTGCTTTCGACCAGGCATGACCCTGGCTGTTTGTTATGCCCGTATCGGCTAAATAGCTGATCGTCTGTGCTTTAACGCCTACAGTGTGTCTCCATAATTTTGTTAAATGTGAATAGATATGTTTACTTAAAGAGTTGATTTGTTATCTTTATCATGGCTGCCATCAATCCGATCGAACCCCACTGTTAAAGATAACAGGTTAGGTCTGATGAGTTCATAGATCTGTCCATGTTAAATAGTCGATTGTCACATGTTGTAGTCACTTTTCTACCTGAATCGGCTATTTCAGCCGATTCGCTTGTGCTTTTCACACATAGCATGTTTTTCAGAAAACCTATCAACGTATAGATGGTTTTAAGGATTCTTTGGTTTTAGTTTGTTATTATCATCATAGCTGCCATCAATCCGGTCGAACCTCACTGTTCATAGTAACAGATTAGATTCAGAGCGTTTGTAGATCCATTTTTACTAGACAGTCGATTTGTTCGCATGTTATATCCATTCTCATTAAATCCATCTGCTCATTGATTTACACTGGTAATATCCACCTAGCTGATGATTTTACTTACATCTGCGTGCATTGTACTTGTCATCATAAAATCTATCGCAACCCACAAGATTTACAGTCCTTAACAGCCGATTTCTTCGTGTATCGGCTGTTTAGTCAATTTTCCCATCTGGCTGCTCCTGAAGCGGCATACTTGGAACTGTCTGGACAAGACTGGCATGTATCACCTTAAATTACTGATAAACTTTCTCTCCTTGTTAATTGCAGGTCAAATTGACTGGCACGCCTTCGAGAATTCGTAGGATCGGCTAGCCCTGCGTTGAAGCCAAGTGGATCTCCAGCATTGCTCCATCAAGCTGATCCTTCCGGCTTGCTGTGTGCCAGGCGCATTGACACATTTTTGTGCCAACAGTAGCATTACCAAAGATGGGGTGCTTGCTACTGGACACCACACCCACCAAAATAATATTTTGATTTGGGCCATCTAAATCCAAAAGTAAAGCCCTAAGATTGAAGTACCAACCGGCCACCGCCATTCTATAGTTTTGTAGAGAGAACCCACATTGAGTGTGCCATTTTGACTCCTAGCTTAGTCCAATGGATTGCAATTTCCTTCTATGTTTAGCTTGTGACAAAGGGCATGCTCTGAAATGTTAAATGTAAAAAATTAAGAAGTTCATTACTAACATGATGGTTTACTAGGCGTAGCTCAAAACACTAGAACCAACGTAGCCGGCACTCACATGTCATATAAAAACAGAAGGAATATCTTATCACATCTATATGAGCACCCATGACACAAATTATACAGACTCAAGCAATTCTGTCGTGAATAAAAAAGGAACAGTAAAGGATGTCATCTATAGCTTATCTGTTGTTTGGTGGAAAGCCAAAATCTAAATAGATATACATGAGCTCTCACTTGTATAAATAGGCCCCAAATCAGTAGTTAATCCATCACCCATAACATTGAGAGCAATCAGAAACATACCAAGTGAAACAAACTAGCAACGTCCTCGCAACAATGGCTACCAAGATATTTTCCCTCCTTGCGCTCCTTGTTCTTTGAGTGAGCGCTACAACTACGTTCATTATTCCACAGTGCTCACTTGCTCCTAATGCTATTAATCCATAATTCCTCCCACCAATTACTCCTATGGGGTTCGAACAATCAGCTGTCCAGGCCTACAGGCTACAGTAGGCGCTTGCAGCGAGCATCTTACAACAACCAATTGCCCAATTGCAACAGCAATCCTTAGCCCATCTAACCATACAGACCATCGCAGCGCAGCAGCAGCAACAGTTCCTACCAGCACTCGGTCAACTAGCCGTGGCGAACCCTGCCGCCTACTGGCAACAACAGCTGCTTGCATCCAACCCACTAGCTCCGGCGAACGCCGCTGCATACCAGCAACAACAACAACTGCAACAGGTCCTGTCAGCGGTCAGTCAACTAGCCGTGGCAAACCCTGCCGCCTACCTGCAACAACAACAGCTGCTTGCATCCAACCCACTAGCTGTGGCCAATGCCGCTGCATACCTGCAACAATAGCAGCCGCAACAAATCCTACCATCGCTCAGTCAACCAGCCGTGGTCAACCCGGCCGCCTACTTGCAACAGCAACAGCTTCTTCCATTCAACCAGCTGGCTGCGGTGAACACCGCTGCATACCTGCAACAACATCAGCTGCTTCCAGTTAACCCACTGGCAGTTGCTAACCCATTGGCTGCCGCCTTCCTGCAGCAGCAACAATTGTCGCCATTCAACCAGATATCTTTGACGAACCCTGCCTTGTCGTGGCAGCAACCCATAGTTGGAGGTGCCATCTTCTAGATTACATATGAGTTGTAGTTGATAACAAAGCTCTCATACCGGCGTGTGCAACTTCCCAAAAATAATCAATATATTGTTTGAGATTTATCTGAGTCTATTTCTTAACTGTGTTCTTCATATATACAATTGAAACCATCAAATCATCATCGAAGACACATGCTTGGTTAATACGTAGACAATACGACATTACTTCATCAATCCAAAGATGTGCCAGCCTGACCTCTTGAATGTTCTCGTTCGGGTGTGTGCGTATGTGTTTATATAATAGATGCGACTGTACGCGCTTGCAGCTGAGTACTTGCATTTGTGATATGTTCTTTTGAGAAAGTGATGGGCACATATGCTTTGACCGTGGCCGTTCAAATCTGGTCCATGTATACTAAGGAAAACACAATATAAGTTCATGACCAAACCTATATGTGCCTCTGAAGCTGTTCACGCAAAGTCTTAGCACTTAATTATTGTCTTTAGTAAATATTGGGTGCATATGTTTTAACTAGAACCCAAATTGTGCATGCCACCATAAAACTGTAGACATATAAGGTATCTTTGCAGCCCATGAACTTAACAACACCAAGGTCATTAAATCAGCTGGACCCTATCAGTAACAATTTTGATGTTGGTAGCAACAAAGTACAAAACTTCTTGGCCAAAAATAATTTATGACGAATATGAAGTTTAAATTATTATCCCTTGAATAAATTAATGAAAATTTTGCGGAGGGACACCAAACTTGTGTGGAATTTGCAGCTCAACACACTAGCTCACTTTTCAGCTAGGTAGCATTACCAAAGATGGGATGCTTGCTAATGGGCACCACACCCACTAAAATAGTATTTTGATTTGGGCTATCTAAATCCAAAAGTAAAGCCCTAAGATTGAAGTACCAACCGGCCACCGCCATCCTACAATTTTGTAGAGAGAACCCACATGGAGTGTGCCGTTCTGACTCCTAGCTTAGTCCAATGGATTGCAATTTCCTTCTGTGTTTAGCTTGTGACAAAGGGCATGCTCTAAAATGTTAAATGCAAAAAATTAAGAAGTTCATTACTAACATGATGGTTTACTAGGCGTAGCACAAAACACTAGAACCAACGTAGCCTGCACTCACATGTCAAATAAAAACAGAAGGAATATCCTATCACATCTATATGAGCACCCATGACACAAATTATACAGACTCATGCAATTCCATCGTAAATAAAAAAAGAACAATAAAGGAAGCCATCATCAAGAGTTGTTCCACTCATTTCGATCTTGTAGCATTTGTTCATTCATTGCTAAATAAATTCTCACCTAACCACTGTGCAAGCTTTAACCATGAGTACAACACTACAATAAAGTCCGTTGATGAAGGCTTTGATACGCGTGAGCAAGTCCTAACTTTACATACTCGTCTTGTTTATAAAGTGAAACATTTATGATGTGGCTAAGGCTGTAACATGTGTAAAGGTGAAGTGATCACGCATGTCATTCCTCATGTATAAAAAATATTCCAATAGAAAAAGACACATTTTCCTTGTACGTAGTGGAAATTTTCTTTCCTACACAGACCATATAATCCAATGAAATTGATAATTAAATGTCAAAATCGACTAGGTGCCATGTCATCTATAGCTTATCTGTTGTTTGGCGGAAAGCCAAAATCTAAATAGATATACATGAGCTCTCACTTGTATAAATAGGCCCCAAATCAGTAGTTAATCCATCACCCATAACATTGAGAGCAATCAGAAACATACCAAGTGAAACAAACTAGCAACGTCCTCGCAACAATGGCTACCAAGATATTTGCCCTCCTTGCGCTCCTTGCTCTTTCAGTGAGCGCTACAACTGCGGTCATTATTCCACAGTGCTCACTTGCTCCTAATGCTATTAATCCACAATTCCTCCCACCGATTACTCCTATGGGGTTCGAACAATCAGCTGTGCAGGCCTACAGGCTACAGCAGGTGCTTGCAGCGAGCATCTTACAACAACCAATTGCCCAATTGCAACAGCAATCCTTAGCCCATCTAACCGTACAGACCATCGCAGCGCAGCAGCAGCAACAGTTCCTGCCAGCACTCGATCAACTAGCCGTGGCGAACCCTGCCGCCTACTGGCAACAACAGCTGCTTGCATCCAACCCACTGGCTCCGGCGAACGCCGCTGCATACCAGCAACAACAACAACTGCAACAGGTCCTGTCAGCGGTCAATCAACTAGCCGTGGCAAACCCTGCCGCCTACCTGCAACAACAACAGCTGCTTGCATCCAACCCACTAGCTGCGGCCAATGCCGCTGCATACCTACAACAACAGCAGCCGCAACAAATCCTACTAGCGCTCAGTCAACCGGCCGTGGTGAACCCTGCCGCCTACTTGCAACAGCAACAGCTTCTTCCATTCAACCAGCTGGCTACGGCGAACACCGCTGCATACCTGCAACAACATCAGCTGCTTCCAGTTAACCCACTGGCAGTTGCTAACCCATTGGCTGCCGCCTTCCTGCAGCAGCAACAATTGTCGCCATTCAACCAAATATCTTTGACGAACCCTGCCTTGTCGTGGCAGCAACCCATAGTTGGAGGTGCCATCTTCTAGATTACATATGAGTTGTACTTGATAACAAAACTCTCATACCGGCGTGTGCAACTTCCCAGAAATAATCAATATATTGTTTGAGATTTATCTGAGTCTATTTCTTAACTGTGTTCTTCATATATACAATTGAAACCATCAAATCATAATTAAAGGCACATGCTTGGTTAATACGTAGACAATACGACATTACTTCATCAATCCAAAGATGTGCCAGCCCGACCTCTTGAATGTTCTCGTTCGGGTGTGTGCGTGTGTGTTTATATGATAGATGCGACTGTACGCGCTTGCAGCTGAGTACTTGCATTTGTGATATGTTCTTTTGAGAAAGTGATGGGCACATATGCTTTGACCGTGGCCGTTCAAATCTGGTGCACGTATACTAAGGAAAACACAATATAAGTTCATGAGCAAACCTATATGTGCCTCTGAAGTTGTCCACGCAAAGTCTTACCACTTAATTATTGTCTTTAGTAAATATTGGGTGCATATGTTTTTAACTAGAACCCAAATTGTGCATGCCACCATAATACTGTAGACATATAAGGTATCTTTGCAGCCCATGAACTTAACAACACCAAGGTCATTAAATCAGCTGGACCCTATCAGTAACAATTTTGATGTTGGTAGCAACAAAGTACAAAACTTCTTGGCCAAAAGTAATTTATGATGAATATGAAGTTTAAATTATTATCCCATGAATAAATTATTGAAAATTTTGCGGAGGGACACCAAACTTGTGTGGAATTTGCAGCACAACACACTAGCTCACTTTTCAGCTAGGTAGCATTACCAAAGATGGGATGCTTGCTAATGGGCACCACACCCACTAAAATAGTATTTTGATTTGGGCTATCTAAATCCAAAAGTAAAGCCCTAAGATTGAAGTACCAACCGGCCACCGCCATCCTACAATTTTGTAGAGAGAACCCACATGGAGTGTGCCGTTCTGACTCCTAGCTTAGTCCAATGGATTGCAATTTCCTTCTGTGTTTAGCTTGTGACAAAGGGCATGCTCTAAAATGTTAAATGCAAAAAATTAAGAAGTTCATTACTAACATGATGGTTTACTAGGCGTAGCTCAAAACACTAGAACCAACGTAGCCTGCACTCACATGTCAAATAAAAACAGAAGGAATATCTTATCACATCTATATGAGCACCCATGACACAAATTATACAGACTCATGCAATTCCATCGTAAATAAAAAAAGGAACAGTAAAGGAAGCCATCATCAAGAGTTGTTCCACTCATTTTGATCAGGTGTCAACTGAAGTTATTCTTTTCAAATATTTTTAGCCATATTTGATTTCCATAGCCCAAAATGGTTGCCCAGTCCTAGCTATTAAGCTTACTAGCCCAATGTTCTCGATCTTCGATTCTTTGGAACAAGATTCAACTCGTGTGTAAGCAAAACCAAAATCTCTTTACATAGACTCTAAGGAATTAAATATGTCCACCCATGGCACATTGTTCTAGCATACAAGAACATGAAGGAGTGTCTTGTATGGAACTTTGAATTTGGATGTTGTAGTTTTTCGATAGAAAAATCAATGCTGAGCCCCATCTTAGTCTCTTTTTTCTTGAGTTTTTGTAGGATTTCTGAGTAAGGTTTACTTTAGTCATCATGTTGTCTTTGTTCATGAATGGATCTATGCCTTTGTGCCCTAACTTATGTTTCAGATAGCAAGGAGGTTGGCCATGGTCCTCTTCGTCTGTATTTTATAGGTTAGACTCATTGTAGCTAGTGCAAGGAGCAAAAGTTGCATAAAATTTGTCATTCTCCATTCTATACGGAACATGTTAACTTTGACATTTGTAGAGGCTAGATGTATACCTATTTGAATCAAGAGCTAGAGTTCAACATATACTCCATTCACTCTGGTTTATTGCACTCTCTAGCTTTTCCCAAAGTTAGTTTTCCCTAACTTTGACAAACTTCCTAGAAAATCTATCCAAAATTTTGAACATCAAGTTTGTTTCGTTGAATTATTTATGATAGATGTCTTCATAGTACTTTTTTTATCATCAAAGTTGATTTAAAACTTTGTCAAAGTGATACAATATGGGGTTTACACAATACTAAATGTAGCACCTGGTTGCTCCAAAAGGCAGGATAGAGAAAATAGGAGATAACCAAAACCCGATTATTTATTTCATTAATCCTTATACCTTAGGCCTATGAACTAAATGAAATTGTGGGAACACCCAACAAGATCATTGCAATCATTACAAAGATTTAAAACAAGCAGAAGCATAATGACAATTCAACAAAGCACTAATTGTGCACAATTCAATCATTGACTCAACTTGCGATACTATCGTCCTCATTGTACTAGTGGTAACACTCCTAAAACTCAACTTCAGATTACACAAGAAGTTGGTGAGGAATAGTTCTAAAAGCATATCAAATCAAG